GCTGCCACCTGCAGACTGGCATGTGACAGCAGGTGTGAGGCAAGTGGAGGGAACAGCTGTTCTCTGAATCCCAGCGGCCTGGGGCCATGCTGCTCTTATGCTCCCCAGTAGATAAAGTGCTCCACTTAGGAGAAGCTCTCTCCAGGCTGCGGGAACATTAGCTCGCTGACTCTTGGAAAACCATTTGGTCAGTGCTGACAGATAGAGCCATTACACTGCCACTTAGCCCCTCTCACTGCCCCATCCAGACCTTGGGAGAGGGAGGGTCTTTGAGACACGCAAGGCTCAGGGGAGGGTCCACACGCTTCACTTCCTGGCCACCCGCTTCCTCTGGCCTTTAGGCTCCATTTTGCCAGGCCCAGATTGCAGCAGCAAATGGCAGCTTCCAGCAGTAAGGTTTCAATGTGCGGCCAATGACCTTGTTCTCCTGAGGGTTGCTCGCAATCTGCCTTCATAGGCACAGAGAGGTTAGGTAGTTTGCCCAATGTCACACAGCTAATTGTGTTGCCTACCCACACTGCTATGATCCCACTGGGCTGTTACCATGTACTGGGAACTCGGTCTCAAAGCAGAGTCTCCAGAGCCAGAGGCAGGGCAAGGGCTGCTCCTCTCCACAAAGTGGAGGCACGAAGCTGCCAGAGGATGCAGCCTTGCCCCCTGGGAACACCTGGTCCATTGACAGAGCTCAGACAGCCCTTGACCTGGTAGGTTCCCAGTTTAGGTCAGTTTATCCTATACCTCCCACGCTCTCTAGATCCTCATTTGCTCAAGCTAAATGAGTGCCCTAGGTGGGGCTTCACAGCCATTCAACAGCTGGTAATCCTCCTCTCCCCGCCAGCTGTACAGGCATCTCGGGATAGGGGTTGCCATGACATCCAGGGCACGCAGCTGATCCAGGCCAGGATCTGCAGCCCCAGCCATAGCACCGACAACATACTCGGGTCCCCGTCCCACCTCTGGAGCCCAGGTGTACCCTGCAGAGTCTGGGGAAACAGTGGCAGGTGCCCAAGTGCTGAGGAAGAGCAGAAAAGAGCGAGAGCCCATCTCCTGCACAGAGATAAAAAGGTGTTTTGCCCCAGACCCAGGCTGGCAAGATGCCAGGCTCTCTGCCATGAATGGGCCTGCAAAGGGATTGGGGACTCCACATCCACCTCCTGAGAAAATGTTGTGGGTTGTGGGAGGGTAAAACTCCAGGAGAAGGCACATCCTCAGGCTGAGAGAGCCAACTCAGCTCAGGCTGAGAACATGAGCTTTCTACCTGAAAAAAGGGTCTTCAAGCCCTGGAGGTATGTAAGGCCAGTTGGGACAAGAGCTAGCATTTACACTGTACTTCCTCTGTGCCCAGCACCATTTAGCAATTAACTCATGGAATCCTCAGTGAAGGCTATGAGGCTAGCTCCATTATCATCCCCATTTTCCATAAGGGAGAACCAAAGCACAGGAGGTTAAGTGACTTGCCCACAGAACACAGTCGATGAGAGCTGACCTTAACAAGTAGGAGCCCTCTAGAGAACTCCACGCAGGTTCTGAAGTCGTACAAGTTTTGCTTTTCTGGTGAGGCCAGAAAATTAGGAAGAAGAGAGAGTTTTCATAACATGGAATGATCTGCCCCTTGTTGGTGCCCTTCTTGCTAGAAAGGCCATTTGAGGGGTCCAAAGTTCTGGCCACCATCAACACCAGGAATCCCTGCTGGGCCTACCCTTGGACAGGTTGGCACAGACACAAAGGCTGAGTGTGCTGACACAGAGGCAGATGAAATGGGGCCAGGCTGACCTGCCCCTACCAGAATGGACCCAGGCAGGAGAGGGAGATGCTGGGGTGGCATGTTCCCCCCTCCACAGGCCAGCCTAGGACAGAGCCCACAGAGCGTGAGCCCAGGGAAAAGAGAGTGATCTCAAGTCTCCCCCTGTCAGACCGGCAAGTACAAACTGGCCCTAGGTACCCCTCCACTGCCCTCTTGGGCCTTAAAGACTGAGCCCCGTTCATTTCATTAACTCATTTGTTTAGCACTCCCTGTGTGGCTGGGAATGAAGCCAAGTTCTCTCTCTCTTCTCATTGGAGGCTACCATACGTGTAACTTTGGAGAACTTGTCCAACCGTACTGTCCTTCGGTTCTCCTGTCTGTGAAATGGGGATAGTGATACTTACCTTGTGGGTTTGCCTCAGGAATTATAACCTCTGTAAAGCCTCCAGGCAACGAGACGGTGGTGGAGTTTAACAAAAGGGGATTGTTCATAAGGAGACCTACGCAATCCAGAGGCCAGGTGTTGGGTATTCCTAAATAAAGGCGCCAATGAGGGAATGGAGAAGGAAGCCTCTGAGCCCCATGTTCTATGCCAGGGCCACCCATCTCCAGCTCCCCTCCACCCCCACTGTCGACCCACACCCCAGCAGGTCATCATCCCCAGTGAGGAGGGCTGCTGACCTTGTCAGGACTTTGAGGACTCCCTTCTCATAACCTGAAGTGCATTAAGGAAGACTCTTCAAAGGGCTGCAACTA